GTTCTTGCCTGCCTGCCTGCGGGTTTCATGGGCGTCGCCTCCGCCACGGCAGTTGCCATGCAAATGAAGTCAACCTTCCCAGCCATTCGGTTTGGAATGATGGTAGGGATCGGAGGCGGCGTTCCGGACAAACAAGCAGACATCCGGCTCGGAGACGTTGTTGTTAGCCAACCGGGGAATGGCCATGGCGGGGTGATCCAGTACGATTTTGGAAAGTCGACGCCCAGCAAGAGCTGGTGGGAAAATCTCACCAGCCCCGTCGGTCCACGAAATACAAGTTTTTTTTTAAATTTTACCTAAGCTTTTCCTACATCAAGGAACCCGAAATCGAACTGTGTGAGGGATTACTGATCCGCCAACTTCGCCATATCAAATGGACCGTCTGGGAAACATCCCTTTGGAGTGTTTTCAAGGTCCGTGGCTGACAGAGGTGGTGACATTTGCGGAGGGGATTCCTGCTTCGTTCCCATTTTCCTCTGGCCATTGGACCTCTTTCCTTCGCTCATCTACACACCAAATGCTTCGAAGCATTTTCATGTTGAGCAAGTCTCTGCAACGGCATCCTCTACTTGTCCAGCGTACCTTCAACTTCGAACACGGCTTTCCTCTCAGGCTTCTGCTGTCTTCGTTAGCATGTCGTGGCTTCAATGACCAACTCAGATTCTGTGAATTAGTGATAATCTGATTTCTTTGGCTTTGTATGTTCATGATAAGTACCCTCTTTGAAACATTCTAGTCTACAAAACTGAGGTAACTAGTGGAAAGCAAACCTCTTATGTACTAGAGCTGAACTATTTTAGTCCGCGAAGTCTTTCGAAAATACGGAGTACTATATCGATACATATTATTAATGTTTGAAATCACAACACACCCAAAGTCCCAAACGGCACCAAGCTTGGCAAATATGAACAGGACGGACGCAATCAATGCAACGCTACAGTGCCCGGCTGCGTACCAATTGGCAAAGATTTTGGCCTGGGTATATGTCGAAACTTGAGCTTTTTCCACAGGTGGAGATCAAGAGAGCCGCAGCAGCCTGCGAGTGTCCATGCTGGACTCATGGAGAGAGATTACATATGAGACCTGAGATTGGTTCTACACAGGAAAAAGCGAGTAGTACGTAGCAAGAGCGCATTAATATCGCGGTGCTGTAGCCATAAGGAACGAGTTGAAGGCAGGAAGATGGCGAAGGGGAATAGTAGGCATTCCCGTCGACTGAAATGCAGATGGGAGATGACAAAGTAACCGAAGAGGAGTAAAGCGCAAAGTTCCAGCTCACCGTTTGAGTATACATTATCAAAAGTTCTACTTTCTGAACATAGGGCCACATCAACCTGAATAAAACAAGGACGACGGAGCAAGTCCATCCATTTCGTGAGGGCAAGACCCAATGAAAACAGCTTTTACCTCTACAAAATTGGCTGCTTCTGCTCCCAAGCGATAGGCGCGAGAAGGAGTGTGAATGGGCTGCAGGGGTGAACAGTGAGACTGCACCTGTCTGGACATTAGGCACCCAGCGCCCAGGACAGAGATTTGGTAACTCAGCAATCCACGACGACATACTCGATTTTCAGATTGATCCTCGGGCTTGAGGAAGAGTAAACGGCCGAGGACAGGATCGGTAGTTAAATAACCCGGTTGCGTTTATGTAACAGTGGGGACATGTTTCCTCCAGATCTGATGCATACTATGTACACTGCCTGCAGAGTAGCCTGGATATCTCTCAACTCAGTTAACTCCGATCTTGGTATACCTTCTTGAGGACGTTCCCCCTCTGTCCGAAATGAAGGACTGATCATTTGGAAGTCCATAACTTGTGAAGAGCAAGTGGTGGGATAATGCATGTTGCTCCTCAGAAGGGGGGCCTGAAGAGGACCCAACTTCGCATATTTAGATCACGCATGGCTATTGTCGCAAGATTGACTCTTCCATCAGATCGCCAAAGTCATCTTAAAGTACATTCATGCATGAAGATGGTAAGTGCCGTACATACAGTATGAAAAACCCAAATTGCTTGCGAGCTTTCTGATTATTGCCTGGTCTGGTGAGATCTAGTACAAGCCACCCCTGTTGATCCATTTGAGTGTGGTGGTTCAGTCGGTTCAGTGTTCATCCGTGTGGCTTGTTGCCCAGCCGTTCTACTTGAGCTGTCACAAGACAAAACAGGTCCCTAATAATAACGTCGTGTATATATAAGGCAGTCCAACTTGATTCTTGCCCTGCCCTAAAACACAATTCGATCAGATTAGGGGTCGGCAGCGGGAGAAGCTACCAGGGTATATATATTAAACAATATAATTAAACCGGTGTTAAATGAAGGCCTGGTAACATCGTTTGAATGTCATTCCAGTGGGCTGAGGTCAGGTCACGGCTCTCGCGTCGTTAAAATTCGTAAGTGGTGATGGCCATATCAAGTCAGTACGAGATGAGGTTCCGTCCCTGAACCTCTCCAAGCCCCGACCCAGGTAAACCGAGATTCATATCGATTCAGCTAAAGCAAGTCAAGTGTTGATTCTTGATCTTTCGAGACGAAAGGACCATTGTTCACAGCAAATCATGAGGCTCAGTTTGGTGTATGCGATAGATTTTAGAAAGGAATATCGACAGTTAAGTTCATACAATCCATCACCAAGCCATGTGCCCCCTATTCGATGAAGGAACTCCCTCTCTCATGCAATGCTAGCAAGGACAACAGTAGGAACTGGGGTCCAGCAAACGTGAAAACTATAGATGTTGGAAACTAGGCCAAAAGCGGGGGGAAGGGAGGGGAGAAGTTAGTTCCCGCCGATTGTCACGCCAGTTCGCGCGCCGCCGGTCGATCCGGACACGACAGACCCTGGCAGGTTTCCTCGGTCTCCAGTGTTCCCACGACCCGGCCGCCATCCACCGTTGTTGCCGCCGTTATTTCCACCGGGGCGACCACCGCCATTGTT